GCCCTTCATAAAAAAAAATTTAAAAAATACGAAATTGATGAAATTGCCAAAAATCGTGGAATGACAGTACTTAGATCCCCACCATATCATTGTGAATTAAACCCGATTGAACTGGTATGGGCACAGATAAAGAGTGAAGTTTCAAGAAAAAATACCACTTTTAAAATTCATGATGTTAAACAGTTGTTTTTGGAGGCCGTAAATAATGTAAAACCTGAAAACTGGGAAAAGGCAGTAAATCACACTATTAAAGAAGAGGAAAAAATGTGGAAGCTGGACAATATTACTGATAAAATGATCGAGCCAGTTATTATAAATCTTGGTTCTGAAAGTTCATCTTCTGAATCTGATTTGGATTTGTAACAAGTAGCTGTAAGTTTTATATTAATATTTTTATTCATCTATTTAACATACCTTAGACGGTTTTAAAAACTCTTTTTCTCTTTTGTAATTTTTAAAAATTAAAAAAAATGTGAATTTTTTAAAACCCTTTCTAATGTAGGCCAGTCAGTTCTAATATAGTGTGTGATACAAGAGGTCACTTTTGTTTACATACACATAACACTTTATAACACTGAAATAATTCATTTATTTTTTACAATTATTCAAAGTAATTTTTCAATTAATCTTGAGCACGCCCATGGAGTGGTAGGTACCAGTTAAAATTATGCTAATTACTCTCTCGTTCATAAAAATAAACTATAAAAATGCTCTTACAAACACAGTACATGGTAGATACTGGATTTTCAATTTAAGAGACCAACGCATAACCTCCAAAAAAGTTGTTGGACTACACGTGTGTTGTGACAAAAACTTGCTTAAAAAGTGTTAAAATAATTAGAATCGATTTGAATGCAAGGCACTTTTATAAAACAAACTAGGTACAATTTTCTTGTTTTAGGATCCAAAAGAATTTAATACAAGAATTCAATGATGACTCTAAAAGTAATGAGGATGATGATGACAGCATTGCTCATCCCGATTTTCTGCCCGATGAAACTGAACTTCCAAGGAAGAGTTTTACAGAAACTAACGTGACTAACGAAAATATTGAAACTAACGAAACAACATGGATGACGAAACTAAGGCTACAGAGAAGAGTTTTGCTGTACCTGTTTTTTAAAACTTGACGTGGCCAATGAAAATACTGATATTGACATCTTGAAAATGGAAACTCAAGAATCTAAAATCACAAATATAGATGTCCTTAAAAGAATAAACCAAGAATGCCAACTTTTTGAAACCATCAAGAAAAGGAAAACGCGTATCTAGGTCACATCATGCGAAATGAAAAATACCAGTTCCTCCAACTTATAATCGAGGTAAAATTGAAGGCAAGAGAGGAATGGGACGCAAGAAAATGTCCTGGCTCCGAAACATAAGGCAATGGACAGGATTAACGACATACAATCTCTGATACATATTGCAAGAAATAGAGAATTAATGGAAAATGTGATCGCTAACATCCATTAGTGGATTTGCATCTGAACAAGAAGAAGAACGATTAAGCAAAATGAACATTTCTTTAAAAACGTCAAAATGGGACAATTTCTAGAGTGTGAAGTTGGACAATTTTTTGGCATTGACTGTGATTCTCAACATCATCGGCATTAATATGAAAATTATAATAAGAAAGTTTTCTGAGCAGAATACTATGTGACAAACAATCAAAAGCCTTAGTGAGCTCGAAAAAGGATGCAAGAGTGTCGATATTGTTCAAACCCTTCCAAAATATTGCTATAGTCGCTATAATAGTGAAATATTTGATAGCTAAAGTTGTTGTTTTATTTTTCCGGAATCCATTGTAAGAAGATTAAATGTAAGCAAGAAAAAATATACAATATTTTTAACTATTGGTGGAATTTAAATTAAACAATTATAAAATCATGTATTCGAATGTATACATAAACACATTCTCATTATTTTGTTATTATACCTTAAATGACCGCCTAGAAGTTGAAGGTTTTCTACAAATTTAACTCAAAATAAAGTTATTGCTCTCTCGTTTTGTCTACCTTTTATATCGGCTGAAAGACGACGGTACATTGGCTGGAATCCATGGACTTGTTTCAGTGTCACATCTGTTTAGAGAACTTCTGTTTACATTTTACATATGGCATTCGCAACCAGTATAAATATATTTTGTCATAAATACGCGTACTTAATGATTAAATGTGTATACGAGGGACTTGATAAGCTGGGTTCTCCATATTATGGTAACGTTTTTTAATACATGCAGATCAGTATCAACAAAAAATATATTCTACTTCATAAAATCTAACATCAATTAAAATTAGTTATTACCCGAACTGCTATGTAAGTTTAGAGATGTAAAATAACAACACAAATTCGCTAAATTACTAGCAATAACGACATGCATTGCAAGAAGGTGAAAAAATGGCCATGATTCTACATGGAAATGATTCATGCGCACAACTATTACCGTTCCATATTAATTGATGAAGAAGTCTTTGCCTTATCTGGGCAAGTTCTTAGAGAGTATCCGAATTAAGTAACAACGTATTTAGAATTATCGACTAATACGACCATGAAGAACGATAACGTACGGTTTGGTAGACTTCCAAATAAGTGGAGAATTTTAAATAGGATATTAATCCTCAACCCGATCGTATAATACTTGTAATTAAAGCTTGTTACCTCCCACATAATTGTATAAGAATAAAAGATGGATTCCAATTCGATTACACATTGTTTGATGACAAACTTACAACCGACATGAATAACAACTATAAGTGAGAACATTTTAGATTACTTTGCTAAATAGTTGATTGTAACAAGGCTCCTTACCATGTAATATCAAGCTGTTAATAGACAAAATTCCGAATAGAAGATTGATAGTTGAAATTACATAATTACCAAGTGCGTTATTTATTTTATTTGTTTACAGAAATGGATATATGATGTTCCAAACAACTACACAAAGTGAATCGTATTTAACGCAAGCAATTTCTGGTGAAAATATTTTTACTTGACGTTTTACTTAAAATACAAATTAAACAAATTTTGTTTTTGTTTCTTGGTAATACACAATTTTTTTAAATAAGTAATTGTATTTGTTTCATTCGCATCGGTACACCGAATTCCCTCAGTATGTCTACAAGTTTTCTTCTTTTAATTGTGTCAAAAATCATTTTAAAGACACTCCTATCATTCCAGTTTTTTGCTACTACTGTTATCAATCCATGCAACAAACAGCAAATCGTGAAAAAACTATGTGAATGATTACAATACGAACACAACGTATTTGATGGATATAACTATGTGAATATATATCTATGTGAATTTACCCTTAAGAATCTACCTTATAAATCCAGACAGAGTAGGATTTTCAGCAAGAATAATTTTGACAGATTTATCAAATTATGTAATCAGAAGTTTGGAATAATATTTTTTGCTCTCCTGATTTGCTTCATCAACTTCATCACACTCTCATGAAGATTTTCAATTTAGCATTTCAAAAAAGAATTCTTAAATCGAAAAGTAAGAAAACTTGGGTTACTAAAGGAATTAAATTTTCCTGCAAAAATTTAAGATCGTTAAATTACATTAAAAAACATATAATATGCAATGATGAATTTTTGATATATTTCTATAAATATAGGTCCATATATAGGAAGGTTACTAAATTAGCCAAATGTATATCTTTTAAATCTAGAATGGAAAATGCCAATAATAACCAAAGGGAATCTTGGCGTATAGTTAATAATCTTAGAGCCAAAGTTCCCCAAACTACTGATATATTCTTAGACCCTAGTTATCTAAATAAATATTACTGCTCGGTAGGTTCAGAACTCGATGGAAAAATTAATTCTTCTTCTGATCCAACGCATTTTTTAAATGGAGTAAACATTACAAATTCCTTCTATTTTCTTCCCACTAACTCGGCTGAAATAAAAAATATTATACAAGGCATTAAAAATCCTATGGCTGCAAACTGGGATAATATACCATCTAAAGTTTTATCTCTTCTCGGGTCGGTTAGTTCTTCTTCTACTTTCACTTTTATTGTACTCTAAGGTACTGAACAAGATTATTAGTAGTGATATAGAGTGGTGCAAAGTTAATCATTTGACATTTAATTTTACAAAAACCAAATTAATTTCTTTTAAAAATGATCTAAACAACATTACTCTGGCAATGAAGGCATTTGTTCTGACACCGTAAACAAACTTTTAGGTCTCTATATTGATAATAAACTTAAATTTGAGCAACACACTGTATGTTTAAGCAAAAAAATATCATCGGGTTGCTTTCAAGATTGCAAAAAGTGTTTATGTGGCCCTGATTGAATCGAATTTAAGATATGGCATTGCCTTTTGGGGTAGCTGTTATCTTCATCATTTCCACAGAAATTTTATGCTACAAAAGAGAGCACTCAGATATTTATGTAAGGTCAAGTTTGGTACATCAAGCAGGCCTCTGTTTTGGAAACATGGTATCTTGACACTTCCTTGCATGTATATCCTTGAATTAGCGTGATTAATTTTTTAAAAACATAAAGAGGATATTCGGACAGATTCCCTTTATAACTCGTCTAACTGTTATGTTATTCCAATTCCCTCTTCTACATTAATTAAAAAATAATTTATTTACACTGGTAAGAAAGTGTTTAATCACCTACCACTTGATATATCCTCAAGCAATATTTTTGTATTCCAAAGAGCAATCAAGAAGTTTTTATTATCTAAATGTTACTACAGTATAGAGGAATTTTTTGAGGACAGTTGCGCTAACTGATTTATTTTTTTTTTAATTATGGAAATTTTATAATTAGTATTTTAATGTATCTTGTGCCTTGTTTGTACTATACCATGTTGTATTTTATAAATGTAAACTCATTTAAAAACCATAAATCTCTCTCTCTCTCTCTAACGAGAAAGAAAAAATATAAATCATATGATTTATAATTAAGATTGCTTCCAGCCTGCCATAATTGTAGAAGATGGATATTTATATCCATAACAAAAAAATATACTTACTCGTCTCTCTTTATTTTGGTCCGTTGGGTATTCGTTATTCTCCATTACTGTCCATTTAAAATGTCATGCTGTTGGAAGATACGGATATCTATAACAAAAGAAAATATTATTAGCAAATACGATCCTCTGGTGTGGTGCATTATTAAAGAAATAAATCTATTTTAATAATTTATAATCATTATTATATATTTATATAAATAATATACAATTATCAAAATATATAATATTAAAATCAACTTTTATATTTATTTATATTTATTTATGTATTTATCAAAGGCAATCGCCCAATTAAATTACAATTTAAAAGTTTTAATCATACACAAAATAAAAGTAGGAACAGTAAATAACAAACATTAACAAAGAATGTACAAAACACAAGGACATCAAAATATCACACACAATTCTTGAACTAAGCTTTAAATTCTTTTGGAATACTATAACAATTCAAGAAATAGAGGTAGATCTCCCGCACGATACACGGACCATATTGTTGCTACCATTGGCGCTCGATTGTCAGAATGTGCTAGAATGGCAGAAGATAGAAAAACGTGGAGAAACATTGTTAAATTTAGCTAATAGCTTCATGATATCACGATACCTGCATCAGGTTAACGACTAAGAAGAAGAACAATCCAACCTTTGGGAATAATGATTAGCAAACTTTGGTGTTCTACATGTGAACGTGTGTCTACTGGGAACACTACAAAAAAACAAAATCAACTGTATGTCTTCACGGATTTTTCATCTAACCCCTCATATACCTTTTAGAACCTTCAAATTTCTGTATACGTTTTGTTCTGCTTTTTTTCTTCATTGACTGGGATTATGATAATTTTAGTTGAGGCCAAAGAAATAAAATGGTCAATTTGCTTAATGTCCCCTCAGTCTTGTTCTGAAAATTAAATTTTTAAGCTTGAAAATATCTTCTTCTTCTTCTTTTTTATAAACAAAATGCTTGTTCAATGTCGATTAATGCCTCTGTTGGAGGTTATCACTCCATCTTTTGCGTAGTCGCCCGATACTTCTTTTACCTTTTGGTGATTTGTCCCTCGCTATTCTGACTAATCGGGTCTCTTCCATTCTGTTTATGTGTTCGTTCCATTCCTTTTTTCTGTTCAGTGTCCACTCATTTATTTCTGGTATATTGCATTTTCTTCTTATCTCTTCACTCCTCATTCGATCCCTCAGTGTGTTACCTGTAATTCTCCTCAGTAAACGCATCTCCGCTGTTTCTAGTAGTTGCTGAGTTTTGGAGGTATCCGGTCTTATCTCTGAAGTGTATGTCATTATTAGTCTTATTGTTAGCTTTGTAGATTCTTGATTTCACGTCGGTATTAATGTGGGGATTGCGCCATATCGTGTTATTAAGACAACCTGCTATTTTATTAGCCTTTTGTACTTGATTTTTCACTTCCTTCTCCACATCTCCGTAGCTAGACAGTGTAATTAGTAGGTTATTTGTCTCCATTACTTGCTCAATGCTGATACCGTCGATTTCCAGTTTACATCTAATTGGTTCTTTACTGATTACAATTGTTTTAGTTTTCTGTGTAGAGACCACCATATTAAAGTCCTTTGCCCTTGTGTTGAATCTATGGGTTAGTCTTTGTAGATCGTCTTCATTGGATGCAATTAGGGCCGCATCATCTGCATAGCAGAGTATTCTGATTTCTTTGTTCCCCATTTTGTATCCTCTTCCTTTATTAATAGTATTCATGATTTCATCCATGATTAGATTGAATAGCGTTGGACTAAGCGAGTCTCCTTGTCTTATTCCATTGCCCATATCTATTGGATCTGTAAGCTGGTCATCTATTCTGACTTCCATATTGTTGTTCTGGTAAATGTTCTCTATTGTTTTTATAACATCTAGTGGAATTTCTCTATCGTAAAGAAAGTGAATTACATCTTTAAGCTTTACTTTATCGAACGCTTTCTTCAGGTCTATTAGACATGAATGCTGGTCTGTTATACTCTAGTGCTTTCTCGGTAATATGTTTTATGATGAATACTGCATCTGTGCACGATCTTCCTGTGCGAAAACCCTGCTATTCATCCGCTAAGGTAATTCTCTGATTTATTTGGCCTTGCAATATTTTGGTTGTAAGCTTCAAAGTGGTGTTTAATAAGTTGATACCTCTGTAGTTTTCAGGTTGTTTTTTATCTCCTTTTTTGTATAGTAGGATAAGCTCGCTTTTCTTCCACTTTTCAGGTATTTTATTAAGTTTGATGATTTTGTTAATTAGTGCTGTTAGCTGTTCTGTTAATGCTTCTCCACCATATTTCAATAATTCATTTGGAATTCCATCTTTACCTGCAGCTTTTCTGTTCTTCAGTTTTTCTAAAGTTTGTTTTACTTCTTGTACGGTTATCTCGACATCCTCGTTTGTAATGATTTCTGGTGTTTCTGGTACTAACGTCATTTGCTGTTCATCATTATAAAGCTTCTTTAGGTATTCAATCTATGTGTCGTTATCTATGTGTTTCGGTTCGATTAAGTCTTTCATCTCTGATCTTTGGCCTCTTATGAAACGCCATATTTCCTTTTGTAGACCGTAAAAGTCGTGTTCCATTTCTTTTGAGAAGCGTTCCCAGTGTTCGTTTTTAATTTTTCTTACTAGTGCTATTGTTTCGTTTGTTATCTTTTTGTAATTGTTGTATTCTTGTGGTGTTTTGTTAGACATGTATCTTAAGTAAGCTTTCTTTTTTCTTTGCATTTTTCTTTCACTTCTGCGCAGAACCACGGAGTTTTCCGCTTTTGGAAATATTTATTTTTAAGAATTTTCCTTGAAAATATAAGCTTTAATAATGATATTCCATACGTACTCAATAATTTACAACTTATTTTAAATATGCTAGGAACAGAAAGCAAGTAATCTGGCAGATACTATAGTAGTTCTTACAATTTAATACAATTACTATGAAACTAAAAAAAATGTATGTGAACTGAATATAAACAAAAAAGCAGAATTACCAGCATACTTGCGTCTTTATGGCCATGACCTATTTGAAAGAACGATTAATTTATTACAAGTACCTGCCCATTTGTTGTGGTACTGTGAAACGAATAGCGAAGGCCGATTCAACTAGATTAGTATTATTATAGAATAAAACTATAATTTATTGAGAGATTCTCAGGAAAAAGTAAATTTAACTGTACAGTTGGATTATTGTTTTAGTTTTTATTATTGACAATTAGTACAAACAAAGGGTTTAAAATGGAAAATGATATAGATTTTTATCGTTATCAATTTTAACTATATTTCGGCGTTGAATGTCATAATGAGTTCTTTGTAGATCTAAAAAATACTGAACTATTATTTTAATAGGTTTTCTTTCAATGTGAAAAAATATGTGACTATGTAAAAAGTACATGAAATTTTACTTATACAGGGTATACCTACTATTTGTTTACTGATTCATCGGTAGTGTTTCAAAATAAAAAATACAGTTTAATCTTTTTTAAATTAACGAAAACAAAATACATAGAATATTAAAAATAAACGAATTTATTGTGCCACCGTATCATCAGATTACTGTACGATTTAGAAATTAAAAGACATTGCCTTGCATTTATAAAAACTTCTTATATAAAAGGTATATGCAAGTTAGAGTAAATGGTTACTTGTCGTCAAAAGTGGAATTAGAAAATGGAATTCCTCAGGGATCTGTTATAAGTCCTACGCTATTTATAATTGCCATAAATGATGTTCTACGAAATTTAAAACTTCCACTTAAAGGTCGCTTATATGCTGACGATCTCGTAATATTTGGTCAAAGCAAAAACTTAAAGAACCTCTCACAACTTGCACAGAGTTTCTTGTTAGATATTGAAAAATGGTCACAGGAAACTGGATTTATCTTTTCAACAACTAAAACTAAATATATAGTATTTTCTAAAAACAAAGTCAATACACCAAACAAAAAGATTCGCTAAAATTACTAGGAGTTACTTTTGACAGAAAGTTGAATTGGAAAGAACATATCAATAATTTAACATGTAAATGTTACAGAAGATTAAATTTACTAAAAATTCTAGCACATAAGAATTGGGGTTCAGACAGGAGTACATTGTTAATTATATACAGAACTATTATACGATCACAGCTAGACTACGCGGCTATAGCTTACGACTCAGCATCGAAATCAGTACTTAAAAAGCTGGACACTATTCACAACACAGCACTCAGAATATGTTTGGGAGCCTTTTGTACAACACCGATTGAAAGTTTACTTTGCGAAGCAAATGAATTGTCGTTAAATGATAGAAGAGCTTACCTTAGTCTAACGTATGCAACAAAAATTAAGGTAATGTAAAAAATCCTGTCTATAGAAATACTTTTACTGATAATTTCCCAAACCTTAATGCAAATCACAGTTCTGCTAAACCTTTCTATAAAAGAATAAAAGACCATTTGCATCTGTTTGATTTTGATATACCTGAATGTCTTCCATACACATATGACCATAATCCACCTTGGATTCAAAACATACCATCATATAACTTTGAACTTACGTCATTTGATAAAAACTCCACTAATCATGATTTAATTATTTCCCATTTTAGAAAAATCCTTAGTCGTTATAAAAATCATACCCAGATTTACACTGATGGTTCAAAATCATCTGAAGGTGTGGAAGCGTCTGTAGTAACTCCAGAGAAGGTCCTTAAATTCAAACTATCTAATGTTAGTACTATCTATACAGCTGAACTGTATGCTCTCTATCGCGCCATAAAACTAATCAATCTAACAACAAACTGCAAATATATTATCCTATCAGACTCACTAAGTGCCATACAAAGCATCCGACAACTGTATCCAAAAAACCCGCTTTAAAAAAAAATTAAAACGGTTCTTGTTCAGGCTTATATCAATCAAAATGAGGTTAATTTCATCTGGATCCCATCCCATATAGGAATAAAAGGCAACGAAACTGCTGACCATAGTGCGAAAGACGCGATAGTGAGTGACGTTTCCAAAATCGTAAACACATCGGTATCAACGGATATAAAAGCTTATATAAAAAAATCAATCGTAAGTGCGTGGAAAAATAAATGGAATGTGTCGAATTCAAAATTAAAACAAG